GGGGGCCCCGCGGGCCCCGGTGTTGGGGGGTGTGGGGGGGGGGGGGGGGGGGGGGGGGGGCTGGTCCCCCCCCGGCCGGGCGCTCCCTGAGCCCGGGGCTGGGGGGGGCGAACGGAAAACGCTCACAGACCCCCGGCGTTCAGGAGGAAAGAAACGGCGCCAGGTGTATCCCGCCGGCGTTACCGTATCCGTTAAATAACGCATTTTAAGTACGTGTCATTTAGTGCCACCCGTTCCCTTAAATGCCCGAATTTAAACTCGGACGAAGGAAATTCTCCCGGAGCTCTTCCGCGGAAAGCGGCACAGAAGAGGGGCTTTACAGCAAGGAACATAAACCGCCAAGTATCGGGTTTGTTAATGCGATGGCACTTGCCCATTTCCTACATCAGCGGGCGAACCCATTTCTTCCCCAAAACACGCTCTCCCCTCACACCCGCCCGGGGCAGGCTGATGGGGTTTTGTCCCGGGTTGGCTCAGGCCTTTTGAAATGCCGAAGCGACGACCACAAAGCAAACGAGCTGGAACCAAATCCCGGGGAACTCCAGCCCAAAGGGCGGGTTTTGCTCGGACCGTGCCCCCGTGCCTGTGTTTCACGGGTGTGCGGACACCGTCGCCGTACGGATTAGCGCACTGATGTGATACTTCAGGGCCTCAAGTTGCGCCAGGGGAGGTTTAGATTGGACGTGAGGAAAAATTTCTGTACTGAAAGAGTGGTTAAACATTGGAACAGGCTGCCCAGGGAAGGCCCATCCCTGGAGGTATTTAAAAGACGGGTAGATGAGGCGCTGAGGGACATGGTTTAGTGGGCATGGGGGTGTTGGGTTGACGGTTGGACTCGATGATCTTAGAGGTCTCTTCCAACCTTAATGATTCTGTGATTCTATGATTCTATGATACCGCTGAGCGACATTGGAGCATACTGTAACACCAGAAAGGTGAGCTAACGTCACCGGGAGCTACTCCACCAAGGCTTCTAGACTGGTGACGGTGCAAGAGGAGAGAGAAGAAATTTGAGCGTTGAGACTCTTCTAGACAATATCCCCTTATAACTAAGGATAAGCATTAATTTCTACGAGATTAACTATTCAGCAGCAAATTTCCTTTTTGGAGAGGGAGGGGGTAAGACCTTTTCCTTTTACAAAATACTCGGTCTTGACATTTTTATTTTTGTTTTGTTTTGTTTTGTTTTTTTACAGGAAACTTCACTGCAACTCTGATACTGAAGAATTCAAATCAGGTTTTCTTCTCAAGCAATTCATGTTTCAAAAGCCACAGCGTGCCTCTATTTGCAAGCAGAAATATGAAAAGCGTAGTCACAAACGTCTCACGAAAACACGTAACCCACCTACATCCCGCAGACAAAAGTTACGACAGTAAACTAGTGCTGAGTGCCCCCCTTAATAAAGAGATTCATCAAATATTCAATGAGACAATTTGACTGGCTGCCAGCGAGAAGGTAAAATGACATTCCCCCCACGCCGCTGACAATTTTCTAGCCATTCAACTGTCTTCAAAAACATGCAGATTACGCACGAAGGACGTGAACCCCAGCAGCAAGGCGAGCACAACAGAAGCCTGTTTCCGAACGCAGAGTAAACCCGGCTAATGGAGTTATTTTTATCTCCGAGCCAAACAGCCCCCCTGTTCCCATTCAGGGGCCAGGCAATCCGGGGGCGCGCCCCGGCCCGCTTCGCCAAGGAGAG